TGGTTGAGTGGACATGGCAGGGAACAGAATTTCTGGACTCAACAGCCAGAGCCTGATAGTCAAGCAACACGTAGTCATGACAACAGCAAAAATGGACAGAGTGAGAAAGTGGAGAAAGAAGAAGGGTGAGAAAAGAAGGACAGGCATCAAAATAAAACAACATTCCGGTAAGTTTAATAAAAATGAGTTTGCCCTGTGTTTAGTTGCACTGGAGCAGAATATTACCATTCACTTACAGGTGATATTTCAGTTCCTGTTGCGGGCTGAAAGTTTTAAGTATTTCCCGGGGATGCATTTTTTTTCTTTTTGCCCTTTTACTCCTCATGTTTACATTACTCAGCAATGACTGCTCCGAGCCGTTCTTGAAAATTTATTCCCCTGTACCCGGCCGAAAGCACATCTCTATTCTGCCGTTGCTCGTCTGCTCCTTCATCACCCTATTCTATTTCTCATTAGTATTCTGTAAGCACACAGTTATTTTTCACTCCCACAAACACTCTTTTTTTTATCCCCTCTTTTGTTTCACCACTGAACCCCTCTCTGGCTTCTCTGCTTCCCCTCCTCACCATAAGATCTCTTTTCTGGTCCTCCAAGCCAACATCCCTGCAGAGCAGAGCTGACATTGGGCACGAGGTCAGAGAGATGGGCAGTCATGCTCCTGCTGTCATTGGGGCTCAAATAGGCTTAGATACAGTGCATGTGAAAACACCCAAGGGACACACTCCGCTGGCTTCAGGCTTAGACGGCCATATGCACATAAATCCTGCACATTCAATTGCAAACTTTTGTTGGCATATAATACCACAAACATTCGCACGCATTAACAGTCAACAATAAGCGTTCACTGCATATAAACAACATTCACTCAAACCGCAAGGCAAACACACGGCGCAGGACGACAGAGTCTGAGAGCCAAGCACACACACACACTACGCACACATATGCACTTGATGTGTCAAACAGTGTAAAGCTTGGAATTAAAAGACCATTTATAATGTTAATATTGTTTAATTTGGAAAAAGAAAATGCCTCAGGAGTGTGAAGTAAAGTAATATTTGGTCAAAATAAAGAGTTAATATTTTGACATTTCTATGAACAAGGAAATACACAAATAATATACATATATATACATATATATATATATATATATATATATAAATGTTATATCTGGTCTTTGTAATAAAAGGTTGGATTATTTTTGCCAACTCATTAGTATCACTCAAACCCTCAGCAGACATAAATACACACGTGGACAAAATTGTTGGTACCCCTCAGTTAAAGAAGGGAAAACCCACAATTCTCACTGAAATCACTTGAAACTTACAAAAGTAAGAATAAATAAAAAATTATTGAAAATTAAAAAAATAATCAAAATCAGCCAGCACTTTTGAATTGTTGATTAACATAATTATTTAAAAAAACAAACTAATGAAACAGGCCTGGACAAAAATGATGGTACCTCTATAAAAGATTGAAAACTATTTGACCAGAGTGACATGATTAACTCAGGTGTGTCCTTCAATTGACATCACAGGTGTTTCCAAACTCATAATCAGTCAGTCTGCCTATTTAAAGGTAGACAAGTAGTCACTCTGCTGTTTGGTGAAAAGGTGTGTACCACACTGAACATGGACAACAGAAAGCGAAGGAGAGAATTGTCCCAGGACATACGAAAAAAAATTATAGACAAACATCTTAAAGGTAAAGGCTATAAGACCATCTCTAAACAGCTTGAAGTTCCTGTGACAACAGTGCCTCATATTATTCAGAAGTTCAAGACCTTTGTCAGACGTTCAAGCCCCATGGGACAGTAGCCAACCTCCCTGGACGTGGCCGCAAGAGGAAAATTGATGACAAATTGATTCGAACTCGATACAATTCGGTATCCAAAGAGCCCAGAACAACCGTGAAAAGGTGTGTACCACACTGAACATGGACAACAGAAAGCGAAGGAGAGAATTGTCCCAGGACATACGAAAAAAAATTATAGACAAACATCTTAAAGGTAAAGGCTATAAGACCATCTCTAAACAGCTTGAAGTTCCTGTGACAACAGTGCCTCATATTATTCAGAAGTTCAAGACCCATGGGACAGTAGCCAACCTCCCTGGACGTGGCCGCAAGAGGAAAATTGATGACAAATTGAAGAGACGGATCGTTCGAATTGTATCCAAAGAGCCCAGAACAACCTCCAAAGAAATTAAAGGTGAACTCCAAGGCCAAGGTACATCAGTGTCAGATCGCACCATTCGTCGTTGTTTGAGCCAAAGTGGACTTCATGGGAGACGACCAAGGAGGACACCACTGCTGAAAAAAAATCATAAAAAAGCGAGACTGGAATTTGCAAAAATGCATGTTGACAAGCCACAAAGCTTCTGGGAGGATGTCCTTTGGACAGATGAGACCAAACTGGAGCTTTTTGGTAAGGCACATCAACTCTATGTTCATAGACTCAAAAACCAAGCATACGAAGAAAAGAACACTGTCCCTACGGTGAAACATGGAGGAGGCTCAGTAATGTTTTGGGGCTGCTTTGCTGCATCTGGCACAGGGTGTCTTGAATGTGTGCAAGGTAAAATGAAATCTGAAGACTATCAAGGCATTCTGGAGAGAAATGTGCTGCCTAGTGTCAGAAAGCTTGGTCTCAGTCGCAGGTCATGGGTCTTCCAACAGGACAACGATCCAAAACACACAGCCAAAAACACCCAAGAATGGCTGAGAGAAAAGCGTTGGACTATTCTAAAGTGGCCTTCCATGAGCCCAGATCTGAATCCCATTGAACATCTGTGGAAGGAGCTGAAACATGCCATTTGGAGAAGACACCCATCAAACCTGAGACAACTGGAGCAGTTTGCTCATGAGGAGTGGGCCAAAATACCTGTTGACAGCTGCAGAATGCTCATTGACATTAAATACAGAAATTGTTTAATTGCAGTGATTGCCTCAAAAGGTTGTGCAACAAAATATTAAGTTATGGGTACCATCTGAATCCCATTGAACACCTGTGGAAGGAGCTGAAACATGCCATTTGGAGAAGACACCCATCAAACCTGAGACAACTTAATTTTGATTATTTAATTTTCAATAAATTTTTATTTATTGTTACTTTTGTACGTTTCAAGTGATTTCAGTGAGAATTGTGGGTTTTCCCTTCTTTAACTGAGGGGTACCAACAATTTTGTCCACGTGTGTATATCTCAAACAAATCAGCATCAGCTCAGCAGTACACCCAAATGTCAGACTCTCTTCGCTGCAGCACACTCCACAAAGGTATCGGTTTATGTCCACACATTGGGGTTTAAGAGCATAATATTTGAAAGGGCAATGATTTCTGTGATATTTTGACCCACACAGTTAAAGTAAATGTTCCATTTTTCATCTTTTTACATAAACGGCATGTGTGATGGGATGTCACGGCTATAGGGGTCACTTTGGATTACAGTTGGAAGATAAGTGTCACAAACTCTGTACCACACTGCCCCCACGTGGTGTTGGTTTGAACTGAATGGACCAGAGGGGTCAGGTGCATGCACGTTTGTGTGTACGCCTCAGTACAGGGAATACACACTCGTCTCAGAACATTGTGCATATTAAGATGTATGATCATCACCTGTCCAGATGGTGTCACTGTAATGAGATGTCTCTTCTGCAGGCATCAGGTTACAGTATAGAGTTGCAGGATAATGAGGTGAAGAGGGTTACCCCCCACATCATAGTGTGTATCAGTTTTCCACCTGACAGCCACCAGTGTTTAAGAGAGAGCAGCAGAAGAGGGAATTTGTCAGGACTACGTTTGCTGAAATGTCATTCAGAAGCCTCTGAATTATAAGGTGGGTTTAAATCTCTCTTCTCTATTGGCTGCACTATTCACAAACACACTGCTTAAAGGAGTTTTATCACTATTTAATACTCGTCTCCTCCTCCTCCTCAGCTAAGCCCAATGGCTGAGTCCACCAGAGGCAGTGCTAAGAGTGGTGGCTTAGGCAGTGGGAGTGCTGTAGGTTTGCGTGTCTCCCAGGATTCCTCTCACAAAACAGGGGTGGCATTGTCAGATGAGAGGGTGGACTTCCTGCGCGAGCAGGCCTTCTGTGTCCTGCGAGTGAAGACGGACAAGTGGAACCGCTTCATCGGAGCAGAAGAAAACCAGAAAATAATTTTGGATTTCCTGGACCACATCTGGTCCCACAGGCTATTGCTTTTCACTGGACCTGGAGGGACTCTGCACGCAGGGAACGCTCAAGTAAGAACTACTAAACCACTAAGCTACTGTTGTTGTAAACACAAAGGCTTGGGACTATTCTAATGGGCAGGTGAACATGATCTACCTACATTTAAAATGTTAAATATATACTGTGTTATCTCATTTAGGCTGAATATACTTTCTATATGGAATATAAGTTGTGGTACTGATTAAATGCATCTAGCTATGTGAAATAAATTCTTACAATTTATGGTCACTACTACACACTATAAAACTATATATATATATTTTCTACTTTATTTTAATTGCTCATGACAACAAGCACTCCCTTTTGTAGATCCTGATCTACTTATTGTGCAGCCCTGTTGAAAACAGTCCAGGTTAAAGAAAATATAATCACACATCGTATGCATCACCTCCTTGGCTCACTGTCCACACTTCATCTAACATGTCCACCTCTTGAAATAAGTCACTGCTTATTTCTGGTGCTTTCAATGCTGTTGAAAGCGTTCCTGCTGTTCTTGACTCCGTAAAGACATCCCCACCATGGAAGACCAAGCTCCTGTGTGTGCTGAAGAGGAATGTGAAAAGGATCTCCCAGCAAGGCTTCAAACACCAACTCCACCTCGGAGAGGTCCCTGGATATCCCATGGATCACCTCCCTGTTGTCATCTCAGAGGTAGACCTATGTAACCTAACCTATGTAGGTAAATATGTGTAAAGGGACTTGACACGTCTGTCACTGTAAAGTAGAGTTGAGTAATTTGAAAGTAATTGAAAATGTTTTGTTTATGTCCAAAATTGATGGACCTATTGACCTTGTCTACAGGTGCTGGTCTGCGTGCTTTCCAGCGGTCTGAACCATGAGGACTGGCCAAGGGTGGTGTGTGACGACATCCACAGACACCTGGAGAAACTGAGGAGCAAAGTGGTTACTCTGAAAGGCCACGCTGAAGGGCGCACCCTGCTGCCGTTGCCTCTGTCTGTGCAAAGGGCCCGACCTCAGGACGTTGCTCTTGGGTCAGTGGGGAAGAATAATTTACTTCCCTGGATTTGAACTAAATAGATGACTGTGTTTTTGTTTTTATGTCCTTTGCCTCCTTTCTTCTCTAGTCCCACTGGTTGGCCACTGGACTCTGGCCTATTATACTCTATGGAAACTCTTATAGTTCAGTGGTCAGGGCAAATATGGAATGTTCTGAGAAAAGACTCTGGGAAGCTACTCCTCAGTGGAGACAACCCAGGCCCTAACATCGAAATTCAGTTTTGGACCACTCAGAGAGAGAACCTGGAGGGCATTCACTTACAGGTAAGACTTAGAAAACGTTGTGCACTCTATTTTATGTGGGGTTTTTTTTAAAACGTTGTGCACTCTATTTTATGTGGGTTTTTTTTTTTCACATAATTTGGAGTTAGTACTGTTTTTTTTAAACACAGAGTTTATACATTAAATTTTTTTTCAGATCCAGAGCTCCAAAGTTCAACAGATCATGAAGATCCTGAGAAAAGTCAAGAGCAGTTATTATTATTCCTTTAAGTCTGTTTACCAACAGGTCTATGAGGGTACATCCACATTTTTTTACATTTCATGCTGCATCTTTCAAATATTATTAAGTTAATTAACATGTGTAATTCTAACATGTTTCTGCCTCCTGCAGTTTGAGTAGACTGCTGACTAATGAGATTTCATGTATTGATCACTGTGTTTGTGCTGTAATCAAAGCATTGCTGGAAGCAGAGGACATAGATGTGTATCTGCGCCCTTTGAGGAAATTGATTAGCAGCTTTGAAGAGAAAAGTTTCCCTCAGGTCGATGTTCTGCTGCCTTCACTTTTCCACACACTCTGTCTCATCTGGAGCAACTCTCAGTACTACTGCACACCAGAGCGCATGGTGGTCCTCCTGCAGGAGTTCTGCAACCTAATCATTGAAAAGGTACGGTGATGAACTGAAGATGAATTACAGCTGATGTAAACAAATGGGATTTTAATACAGGTTAACATCACTGTTGTCAGGCTATTGGCTACCTGATCCCAGAGGAGCTGTTTAAGATGGAGCTGGAGGAAGGCCTGCAGAGAGTCCAAATAACTATCTCAGTACTGCGCACGTTCAAGCAGTTGTTTCACACATACCGTCAGCGTGTACCAGAGTACTACAAACGAGGGCAGGTCATAAAGCAGTGGGACTTTCCCGCTGCTTTAGTGTTTGAGCGTTCAGACCACATCATGAAAAGGCTGCTGATGATTGAGGTCAGTGAGGTGACGGGTCATCGCTGAGTGTTTTCCACCAAATCTCATCACACCATCACGTTTCATTTATTTGTTTCTCATATCTAGGACATCTTTGTAACAGCGCTGGACTTTCTGAATTTGGAGAAGATTGAACTTGGTGGATCCAGAGGGAAGATCCTCACTGAGATGGTCTCCTGCATGAGTGAGGAGTTCCATGACCGCTGGCGGAGCCTGAGAGAGAGCAAATATGACCCCTTAGACTACACCAACGAAGTGAGGCCTGCTGAAATCATGGGGTTGTTTTTGATATCCCACCGCTATTTATTAATTAAACCCCAGTAGGCTGTGATTCACAGCAATTTATAAATGGAATTGACAGGAACAACCAAATAATTAAAAAAAGATGATTAGATGTTATTTTTCTGCCCAGCGGTAGAGTAATTGAAAAGTATCTAAGCAGAGTTGTTGCCAAGCAACACTCAAAAACCACTGGTAGCAGTGCATCAATATTTAATTTACTCTTCATTAAACACTCATTTTATAACATCATCCAGTGTGATTCAAATAATCTAACCTGGAACTGAAATTGATTTGTGTCATAGTTTGTGTTTTTGGAAGTGTGAGATATTCCAGCAAATACTGATCTAAAGAAAATGCTACATTAGCTGAAATTGTAAAATATTAAAGGTGTCCTTCAAGTTTTCTCTACTCTTTGTCCAGGACTTTGTGTGTCAGTACAGGCATTTCAATGAGCAGAACAAAGACTTTGACCAGAGACTTGGGACTGTTCTAAACCTAGCTTTTCAACACTCCAAAAATCTGAAGTCAACCTTTAAGGTATGTCTGTTGCACTTTGTTTTTTTTTGTTTTGTATTTTTTCTGAACGCATTAAGACATGGGTCTCAAACCCTCTGGTCAGTTGAAGGTCATTGATTCCACCATAATGCAGTATGATACAAACAGTAATACAAAAAAATCTATTTGTTTGTTGCACAAACTATAAAATACAGCAGTTCAAATCACAAATCCATGTCTTTTATCATTTTTAAATGATTAGTTAAATCATTTTAATGAAATAACACATGGCTATTTGACACTTTCTGTCTGGTTTGACCCCCAACAGCACTCTTGATTTTAATAAACAAGTATCTATATTTATTGTTTCAGTCATGGAAATTAATTTGGATTCAAAACTTTGTTATAAATATTGGTTTTTGATGATTAATTACAATTATTCCCAAATTCCAAGACAACTTTTATTTTATATATCCCATTTAGCTGTTGCAGATTTTTGGCTCCCTTCTGGAGAGACCCAGGATCCACCAGCTTTTTTCTCCAAACCACAGTGTTTTGTTGACCATGTTCAACCAAGAAATAGACCACTGTCAGTCCATCCTTGATCAACACAAGGAAGAGGTGAGAATCATTTATTCACAGAAAATAATAATTCGAAATAATCCATAAGGCAGACAAGTTTTGTTTTGTTTTTAGTTGCAGTCAGACTCTGTGGTCTTGGGAAAGAACATGCCATCGGTGGCAGGAAACCTGAAATGGTCACAGGAGCTTCGGAATCGTATTCTCGCCATAAGGAGTAGCCTCTGCCAGCTGCCTCATATGTATGTTCTCTACCCACACTATTAGGGATGTAACAATACACTGGAAAGAAGTTATGTTCATCGCTGTGTTTGCTTCAGGCCTCTAGGGTCTCCTGAAGCCGATGATGTCTTCAGGAAGTGTGAGCGCATTCTTGAGGTTCTGGAGCAACATGATGAGGATCTGTTCACTAAATGGACAGAGGGGTTGGAGGAGATCTGTCAAACCCACCTGAGTGACCCTCTGCTGTCACTGGACACTGACAATGGCCTGTACCAGGTCAACTTCAATTCAGCGGTAAGTCCAAAGAAAATACACCAACTCCACTAAAGCAGAGCCATTGTTTTAATCAAAATCACATGGATCACCATAGATTACCATTTTCCAAAAAAACTAAACTATTAGGGCAGATGCATATTCCTATGCAAAAATATCAGAAGTACAAATTCCCAATGCCCAGGTTCCTGTCTGTATTCAGGAACTTACTATTACTTACTTTTTTGGTTTTGAAGAGACACTTTAAGACTAACAATAACATGTTACCCACTGCTGTCTCTCCATTTTTTTAGTTAACATCAGTTCTGAGAGAAGTGAAATATTTGGGAATGTTGAAGGATCAACACATTCCAAAAGCAGCTCTGCTTTTGTACTCCAAAAGAGAGAGACTCTACATGGTACAGAACTTTTATTTTTTTACTTTTCATTATCTCTAAAGTATTTTCTCTAGGATATGTCAAAAAAAATGTTTTCAAACACAAAGAAATGTTCTGTACTTTGTAGCACACACAGACACTGACCTTGGTGACCCAGTGGTACAACCACCTCCATGGGACCGTTCTGGCTGTGGAGATAGGGTTGGTGAAAAGTGAGATGGATGAGACAAAACAACAACTAGAACCTTCTCTCAAGGAGCTCACCTGGGCCCAGGATGATCTTTGGGACTACATTCAGACCACAAGAGACATGGTGAAGGTAGTGAACGCTTTCTAAATATAGAAAGTATTGGTTATTTGAAGCCTGAACTATTTGTATTTATACAATTATAAAAAAAGAAATTTTGGCTGGTGTGTTCAAAATGTTTTTGTTTTTTTTTATTAATGCTCTTTTTGACATCACCAGAGCATCTCGAGTCGTGTCCAGAACAGCAAAGCCAATGTGCTGGCAATCCAGGGTCTTATGGGTAAATTTAGCCACCAGGCCTTCATCACCAGAAGAACCCCTGGCTCTGCTCTCCTCGTCTTCTCTGAAATTGAGGAGAGTGTTCTCAAACAGCATGACCTTATCACAAGAACTGGAGAAAAGATACATGAGCTTTTGCAGGTAGAATATATTCACTGGTGAATATGTCACAGCCTTTGGGATTTTATATATATATTGCTTTATATGTGTACTGTATATGTAAATCTATAAATCTATATCTATGTATGTGTGCATATAATTTTAATGTATATATATATATATATATATATATATATATATATATATATTGTTTGTTTGGGTTTTTTTTTACACTTTTTACTGTGTCCACTGTGCTCCAGGAGAACCAGTCTCTACTTGGTGTCACAGACATAGAATCCCAGGAGTGGCAGGCCTACACAGACTATGTAGATCAGATGATTCTGACGGGCTTCTCCTCGGCAGTACGCTGCTCCCTGCAGTACCTTGTGGACAACACTGATGCAGCCCAGCAGATAATGCCACTTTTTGAAGTCCAGCTCATTCTCAATAGCAATGAGATGACATTTGACCCCTCACTGGACTTGAACTATAGCAGTAACTTCTATCAAATAGTGGATAAAATGGTGACTGACATCACAAAAATGGCTTCCTTTATACCCAGAGTGGCAAAGCATAAACAGAAGGAAAACTATCAGGTGACGTTTAAATCCAAACTTGTATTTGTCATGTGACCTTTTTTTTATTTTTAATACAGAAACCTCACACTTCTTTTTTGCATATATTGTAGACTGACATTAATCAGATGGAGGATTTGACAGAAATGTGCCACATAATCAGATCTAGAGCACGGGCAGCCATTACTAAGGTTAGTGCTGGAAAAATCCACACTAGAGAGGAATGTATTTATGTTCTTGGGATATAATAATATACATTATTGACTTTCAGGCCAAAGAATATCAGCAATCTTTTGCCAGCTACCGGTACCTGTGGACAGATGACAGGTCACAGTTGTAGCTTTAAAATTTATAATTGTTGTTTCCACATGAAAATCTGTAGTAAAACACATTTGAGTCAAAATCACATGTTTTTTTTTTTGTTTGTTTCTCAGATCTGAATTCATGAGGCAGTTTCTGCTCTATGGCCGTGTTTTAAGTACAGAGGAAGCTGAGCTGTACGCTGACTATGAGCTCAAAAAGAACCCACCGACTCTGGATAATTTCAAAGATCAGGTGGGCTTTGCATATCATGGTGTATATACCACCGAGTAATCATATTGAATATTGGAGTGGTACATTTGTAGCCCATTTATTTATTTCTCCGATCCTTATTCCAGATTAACCTGTTTGAGTCTCTGTATTTACGAGTGAGTAAGATGGAGGACAGAAGGCTGTTCTGTGGCTGGCTGCAGCTTGACGTCAGACCTTTTAAGCACATGCTGATGAATATTATCAA